GAGCATCTCTCCAGTGTGGGAAAACCATTACATAATGGTGATATTTAAAATTCTTTTGAATCACTCGCAGTGAAGTCGAAACCACTGTTAATGCTCAAGCACTCACTGCTCACTCTGGCAGTCGAGAGGGCCCACACAAGTACTGCGTGTTTACACATTAATCGCTTCAATAAACCCTTTGGCTCTTTTCATAACGTGCCATTACGACTTATGACTTTATCTTGACACCTCTATCAACTCCTATCAGGTCACCAGGGTTCGATAACATTATCTCGTTCTCTTCTTCCCTCATCAGGCTCTGAGCGTGTCGAGCTAAAGCCGCGCGGAACTCATCTAAACACATCAAAGCGGCCACTTGTGACCTTGCGATATAAAAATACCTGCATGCCCCCTTCAAACGCCTTTGATGCATCCATTGGTACATGTGCAGCATTCTACATCAGGAAAACCGTCTCCGTCTAGTTGGAGCCATTGAATTAGATCTAATCAACTCAGTTTTTACTAGTTAGACAGATTGGACAGCTAAGAGGACTTGATTGGTGCCTTTCTAATTTTTGTGATCTTAGAGCAATCCTAGGGCCAATTAGTGAAAGTCTAACAGCGTCCTTATAGGTATGAATAATAGCCTGGGTAGTACCTTCGAGTGCCCCATCGTCACACGTTCACAAAATAACAGCAAGCCCAACAGGTCAGACCACACCCCAGCGTATCCTTGGGAACTTAATTTCTTACATCTACAGCTAGATTTGACCAGCGGACACGACTCGTCTTCGAGTCGGACATGACGAAAGTGCTTCGCGAATCTGAAATTTTGCTGTCTCTCCACCAATCACGTTTTTGCCCCACAGCCTCACGGACTTCTGTCCAGGTCGAAGCAATTTTAGTACAGCAAGAGAAGTGACTCAAAATTCATATTGCATGGACATGGACCCCAAATTATGAGATGGAAGATGCGCATTGTAACCACTCGAGCCATGATAATTGCCTGGGATACGACACGAGGCGAACCGTATGCTGTCTCTCGATTAAACCACTCTGGTGGAAGCAGGTAGTTTTTGGGAACGTGAACGAAGGTATAAAAGCCCTCGCGGCTCCCTAATGGGCAGACACTGAACGCGGTTATCACTCCTCTTGCTTCCGACCATGCAGCTTTCGCTTGTTTTCACAATACTCGTGGCCTTTACTGCATTTACTTTGGCATCCCCCATTCCACAACTAGGTTTTTATGAACGTGCGTGCGAGATTTTCACTCTTGTGAGAATGGTACTTATATGCCATGCAGTTTCGGCTGAGCACGGGGAGCTTGAGTCTAAACTCATCAAAGGGTATGAGGTTGATTCGGTGGAGGGATCTAATTATGCCCATGAGAGAGGCAAGTTGTCATATACTTGAGTGGATCACTCGTGCGTAACACCTGTCGCAACAGAGGTTTCTGGCTACAATTATGATATCGAGGATGAGAGCTGCTAGTAATTCAAGCCTTACGGCGACCCGGGAAACCCGAGGAGTGAACATACGGAGGTACTTTTCCCTTGTTACTATTATTATAATCCCTCGCTTATTACTTTTTAGCTTCAGAAGAAAGGCAGAGCTCAGAGTGTATTGTAACATCATCAGTCACGATATATTCGACGTGTAATTGTATTTCGATGCCAGGTGCTTCGATCCACAAGTGAAAAGACAGTAGAGTGCATATGATAAAAAGCGCCTCAATACTTTAAAAAGCAGGCCAAAAACAAGTACGAGTAAATGCCACACTTCATGGGTTCGTGTTCGAAGAAATGATTATTCTGTCCTACAATCACACATGTCAAGCGACAAATGAGCTCTAGAGTGAACAAATAACCTAGTCTATTCTCTCTCGCCGCACATCATCACTAGAATACTCTTCGTCCTCCCCAACATCAAAGACAGCCGTCCCACTCTCATCTTCAAGAGCCCGTTCCTTCCCTTTGCGTCTTCGATGCGCCTGCTCGTCGTCATATCCATTCAATGGAATATTTTCTTCTGATTGAGGATCCCTCAACAACCGCACTGGTCGACGACGCAAACGACACCATATGCAAAGACCAATGGCAATGGCCAGAAGAAGGAAGATCAGGACTACCGAGCCTGCATTATAATAGGCTGACAATAACACTAAATTAGCACTCGTTTCTGTATGCAAGAAAAAAAGATTATCACCATCCCACTGCGCCTTAGTCTGCTCGGGCGTCTTGCCGGGCAATGGCGATGACAACGGCACATCATCGCTGTCCATGAATATCGGTTTGGTGTCGTCCCCGACTGCGCTTGGTATACGTGCGGATCCGTCGATGATGGCAGAGAAATTCATCCCCATGAATCGCAAGATCATGTCATGCGCAATGTCGGGAACGTCGTATGGTACCATGTGTGATGCGTTGAAGATCTGTAGCGTCGTGAGTAGAGTGCCATTTGGCAGGGTATATAACGTGCCTTGGCATACGTGAGGTTTCGTGAGGAAACCCAGGTTCCTGCAGGCGTGCCGTCGACCGTCCATGATTTGGTTTGTACTTGCTGAAGTAGCGGTCAGTTCCGACATTCTGTGACATGAGAAAACACCCACCCCTAGCCCCTTTTCTCCGTTCCATGTCAAAGACTTAATCATGCTCTCGATACCCATGTAATTACAGATATAATCTTGATCACCAGCGAACAGTAAAACGGGAATTTTTTCTAGTATTGAAGGAAGGAGCGTGACAGATGATGGAGACAGATAGTCATGCATCTCAATGCTGACCCCTCCGAAACATTCGACCCAGCTCTCAGATTTGGCCTCTGCATGGAGCGCCTTGATGACATCGCTACGCTGGAAAAAGGTTTCGTTAGACAGCAAGGATGGCATGTCAAGAGAGGGACAAACAGCAAGGTAGGTACTGATATTTTTCAAGTCCGTAGGCCACTGCATGCCGCAGTAAGGCACATCATCTTCCAACCGCACATCATAGATGTTTACGCATTTTTCTTGTCCGTCGACACTGTTGTGATAGTGAAACCAAGATTCGACAGATTTTCAAGTATTACTCACATTCGCGACTTGCTTTTGAGGATAAACGGCAGCAGCGTCTCGCATTGATCTATATGGATGGGCTCCGTAGTAACACTCCTGAACTCCGCCATGCATCTGTTAGTCGCATCTTTGCTGTCCTTGTAGTGCTGTGAATCTGTCAGGCTCGGTGCGAGCAGGGCCCTTGAAATGGTTAAATAACTCACCTGTGAGCTCTCGTCAACAAGTCCATGTGTGACGGCATAATCTAAGTACGCAGGGTATTGGTTACGAGCATCTATCCAGCCATTACCGATTGCAACTCCGCGTAAGGGTATTTTGAGTTCTGATGAGAGAATAGCATCCGCTATTGAAAGGGGTCAGTGTCACTCAGTAGGAAGTGATTCAAAGCTGCTATACCGAAGTATGGGATATATTGTCCAGCATAGCTCTCGCCGCCCAGATACGTCTGCAAGCCGCCATTAGGTGAGCTCCGGGATGAACAAAGCCACGTACGTCTACAGTTTCGAATTCGGGAAACACTTTATAGAATGTGCGTAAAAATTCCATGAGTTGGTCAGTCGTCTGAGATAGCATAGCCACTAAGTTAGCCAGCATTGTACCTACGCGTCTTAACACGTACCTGTTGTAGACCGTGCACGTAGCGATTCGTGCTGGTATACGAGAGACCCGTTCCAGCAGGTTGATCCACTGAGAAAGTCGGTCGGTTGAACTTGGCCAATGCAAGAGATTTGATAGACTTACCATATACCATAGTAGTGTACTCTTCCCAACCTCCTTGTACAGTTTTGAGGCCACCCTCTCCATCAATTCTCCAAGGTCCGACTTCCATCATAAGACCGTCAAATGAGGAACATCCCGGTCCGCCCTATTGCATTCAGTTCGATGCACACCACTGTAGCATATGACACGTACATTAAACCAGAACATCAGCCGTTCCTTATCAGCTGACTTGCGAGCCTTCACCATCACGAAGAATAAATGCGCCAGAACGTCTGTACTAGCTGCTGAATCTGCATCGGGATCAGAAAGAATGTGTCCAGCGTATATGTGTAAAGCGTGTGTTGTATCCTGGTGCAGGCTTGGGAGGTAAGGAACATAGAAAGAGGCTGCTGAGGGAACTGTATGGCTTCTGTATCAGAACTGTCAACATGTATGAGTGGTTTGTGCTATACCTTCAGTTGGAGCAGCCTTCGCCGGTTGGCTCACAAGAGCAAGAAGTGACGTGGCGCAGGTCAGCGTCCCTCGCAGATACCTCCGCATTGGTATTTTTGACTTTGTAAGACTTGCTAGTCACTCGTTGAGAAGAGTTTTGCTGCAGTATAAAGTGGGCCTAGTACTGCTTGAATTTGGATTTGGGGTATGATATGACGTGGTGCCTGTGCACGGCAACAGTCAAATTGCTGCAAGTCTCACACAAATCGGTACATAATACATCACAGCCATCGCGCCTAGACCCCCAGATTCCAGCTCTCATCTGCTAATTTACTCCCGGGCGAAACCAAATACCACAAATTTTCATTTTCGAGACGGCCTTGAGTCCTTCAGGGCAGGTACTTGTCAAGTGCTGAACTCCCAAATCAAATACACGTCCCCTCAAACGCCTTAGAAAACACAGCTTCTGACCTGATCCGGAAGAAACGGTGTAGCGAAATCACACATACCGACATTCAGGCTCTTCTTCCTTCTGAAAACCACTAGTAGGATCAATATGATTTATCGGTATTGCAGCAAGTCCCCGACTCCCTTTGGCTCGTAACACCCACGCTATGGTTCACCTTTGCGTACAACGATACTCCACAGCCCAACTTTGTTTCAAGTCCTTTGCACAATAGTCCATCGAACTTTGATCACGACGTGCATCCATAGCCTATTCTCATTCTGAAGCGCCAACCATCCGAATTCTATACTCTAATTCAGAATTTCAATTATTATTCACTCACACATGTTTTCGTCAAAGGTTCATATTATCTTTTCCATAGCCAAATGGTTACTGGCACAACAGAATCGAAATCTGTTTCTGCGTAGGTTCGAAACCTGCCGACAAAGTTTTCTACCAGAACACGCCTTGAAAATTCGCTCATGAGTGGCCTCAAGGCTCGGAGATTCATCTGCGTTATTAGGAAGGAATCTAAATCTACCTTTTGTATTTGCACTGCACCCGTGCCCCACTACCTGACATGAACGGGGTCAAAGGCCAGAAGAATGGACGCAAGGTAAGGATAAAGTGAGTCTGATAGTTATGAAAATTCCTTATCCTCATCGATGGACACACCTTCGGTCCGTCATTAGCTCTCCCCCACCAAGGCTGACTTGAAAGCTAAAGGTAAAGAATCGAAAGTGGCAAACCGAGCCAAATCTTTCTGATGTGCAGTTCAATTGCGTACGCTCCTGTTTTATGTCGATACCGAGGCAGAAAAAAACCATGCAGGAGTGGTCCACTATGGTATGCATAACGGAAAAGGGAGGCTCAGCGAGAACTAAATAACAGACACAAAGACAACTTAACAGGCCTTTAACAAATAAGGTGTCAAATGATTCCCAGTGGACCTGTAGCCGACAGAGGTTTTGAGAGATGGGAAGCAAATCGTGTTCGACAATAGCCCTCCCCCATCAACGTTTGGAGTTGGAGATGTGCATAAAATTTCGTCCACGTCGAGATGAGCATACGTCTCGGGACACTGGGAATTTCGCCTGCGATAAGCATGAGAGGAAGGAGACTGAAGGAGCGAATTAATGACAGCTCCATGCGAATGACCTTGACGTGGTAATAATATAAACGCTCATCAACCTTATGTAACTAGAGTAGTCACTGAGGACTTCTGTTTATTCCTTACCCGAACATACTCGATACGTTTGAGAGATGAGGTCTTTGGCATACATTGCCAGTTTTCTATCGCTCACAGGGCTAGTCAATGCTCAATATTTTTCGGCTGGATGGACACCAGGGCAACCCGCCCCAAGCGAAACTCCCTCAACACCACACGTCCCACATTCCCCATCCACCCCTGCAACGCAACATGGGCCAGGGAAGATGTCGTTTCTAGATAACCTTGTAACTGTAGGACCGTTGGGCGCTGTATCCTCTCTTATCGGTCTCAACCTTACCGGAACTCCATCTGTAACTTGGGATGAGCGGATACCACTCATCACGGATGAGAACTATGCAGAAATCATTGTAAACGAGACACTGACTCCGGAGGAGGAGAAAGAACGAGTTTGGTTTCTCATAATGTGAGTATATCATATTTGATAGTCCATTAATTAACGCATCCTTACTAGAACCGTCACCGCGGGACAGCCAGAAGGTGTCTCGAAGTTCGTAGACCATGTTTTCGATGCCACGTATAACTATACTCTGGAGAAAGGAGAACTCCCTCATGTGCGCTTTGGTCGAATTGACTATCTCAATGTTACAAGCCTCACCACCAAATGGGCTGTCTGGTCGTGAGTCTTTCACATCTTTGTAGCGTGTTCGTGTCCTTGACCTGCTATCAGCGCGCCTTACCTTGTTGTACTGAAAGACCGAGGGCAAACTTTGCGGTTCTACAAAGCCGGTCAGATAAGGTTGACCGACGAAATCCTCCACCAATTTCTCAAGGAGAAGGCGTGGAGCATGAAGGAGCCGTGGAAATCCGTCTACGGCCCCGGTGGTGAACGGTAGGACGCGTCAGATTTAAGTATCCTGCCAGCGCTTACCGCCCTTTTGCAGCGAATACATTTTAGACTACTTGGCACAATTCCTGTCAGTAATCTACGGCGCTCTTGTTCGTGTGCCAAAATGGCTCATGTACACGATGAGTGGAGGTCTTGCGACTTTTTTCATCAACTTTTGCATAAGCCTTCGCCTCCTCAGAGTGCTGCTAAGCCTGCACCCGAGGCCGTGTCTGCACCTACAGCTCAAGAACACGAAGTCGCGTCGAGTGCCACAAATACGCCACAGAAGGGATCTACTAAAAGGAAGGGAAAGAAATAGTTGGATGTCTTGGAGGGATATATACCCATGCCATTATTGGGGAGCTTATGTATTGTCATAATGTACTTCCATCTTGTAGGTTGTACAATGAATCCTTAACTGCTGTGTACCAGTTTCTAGACAGACCAAGGGAGCACGACTATTTGAGTTTCCAAAATACATTGTATTTCTCTAGCTCGTCAGTCTGCATCTGGAATGGTGAATGAATGTATCGTTGTCTGGCAAGGAATTCGTGTGATCCAGTTGTACTGTATCAGGAACTAGTTCATCATAATCAGTGAAGCGGTAAACAGACTTATAGTACAGGTAACAGTATCACATTACTGTGCCTCGTTTCGTTAGTTGGACTGTGAACAGATTGTTGAATGCAAAAAGTTCAAGAATCAATGAGATCTCGACAACGAGTAATATTCGTTCCTGATCATCGCAGTAGCTCTCTCTGTCAATGGACGGTCCTGAGGATCAGTAGACCAATATTGCTCGAGAACTGGCCAATAATTTTCAGGAAGCTCAGGATAACGAGCTCGGGAGGGCGATTGCGATTGGGCTATGCAGAGTATGATGGTGGCATCATTTGTGATGTAATAATAGGGTGCTTTGTTGGTGAGGACCTACGAGTGGAGCTCATCATATCAATGAGAAGCCAGAATTAATACAGACGTACCTGCAGCATGATACCGCCGAATGAATACATGTCACTTTGCTTGCTTGGCCGCACTTGAGATCCATCCTTCCGCTCTATAACAAGCTCAGGAGCCATCCATCGCACGTTTCCCTTGATTGTGGACGTCCAGGAAGCCTGAGAGGCGGTTATAAACTCGGAATACATCAAGGAAAGGCCGAAGTCAGCGACACATGCAGTACCATCACCATAGATGAGTACATTAGGCTGGAACTCACGTCTCGATCAAATCAAAATGAACGAGAAGGTTCGAACTTACCCCAGTAAAGTCACCATGAATGACATTCCTAGTATGAACTGTAAGGGATATTACTACTGCAGGTATAGCAATGAGAATAACTATAGCACATACGATATCGCAGACCGGCTATGATATCCATGAGCTGAGATCGCCATCAGTGCGTGGTCTGCATAAAATACAAGGAAAGACTGACAATTTTGAATCTTGTAACGAGAGTGAGGGCCGTGCCATTGAGCTTCAAATAGTCTGTGAGGTTACCATTCTCCGCCCAAGGGCTGACTATCGCGAGAAATGGGCCGAAGCCATACGTATAACCATAAACGGGTAGAATATTTGGATGCTTGAGATTGGCACATATTCTGAGCTCACGCTCTATTCTCTACGAAGTGGTAACACATAAGGAAAATACGCGGTCTTGCGTCGAGAAATTCACCTTGATCTTTTTCGTCTTCGCTGCACCAAGTTGATCAGCGGCATAAGCATGAAATGCTTTCACCGCGACCTGCCCAATTATCAATTTCAGACTGATGGAAAAACAACACTGCAAACGAACTTTGGCCGATCTGCCATCGGTGCGGAGGGTGCATTTCCAAATCTCCCCGAACCCGCCACGAGCTATAGCATATTTCCCATCCTTGGTGATGTGTTTTGAGAGGTCTTGGAGCATTGCTTCAGGAGGGAAGTTTCCAAGCTCATCGTTACGAGCAGAATGCGTATGGAAAGAGGAGGGGAAGAGCTCACGGGAGTCGGGTGGTGACCGGGGTAGCCATGAGCCTACTGTAGAAGAGGGTATCTGCGATGGAGGGGGAAGAGCCATGGTGGGCAATGTTGATGTACTTGGGGGATCTGCCATGGGTCCTTCGTGTGAATGCTGTGTGAGCTGGCGCAGTGGCTGGAATCTTGGTTCGTAGTGATGCCCCCGTATCTCAGCAGGTGATAATTCCATGTTAGCAGGCACTTGCCGCATATCGGTAGACTGTATGTGAGAGGTTCCGGCGAGTCTGTTGGTTCGGTGTTTGGACCCTGCGTGATGATGGGTGGAACTGATAGGGGGAGGTGGTAGAGAGTAGGAAGAGAGGCGCTGTTGCGCATTTGGTGGGACGTCACTAGTGGATTGATTCGCGGTGAGAGAAAGCGCGCCAAACTGAAAAAAAGGGCATTAGTGGAGTGCTGTAAATGAATGGATGAAAGGGATAAGTACATCAGCGAGAGGTAGGTTTCTAGAAGGACCGATCTGCAAGAAAATGTCAGCGCATGAACGACAGTAGTATTGGAGCTCTAACTTGTGGTACAGGCTGAATGCTGGCGAGGATCTCAGGGGGAGTGTTGCATAAGTAGATGTTGTTGTTGCGCAGGGTGGTGTAGACTAGTTGGCGCGAGTCGGGTGAGAAGATAAGGTGGCAGGCAGTAGACGAAATATTGAATGATGCGAGGAGCTGGCGGGACTCGAAGGCCCAGAGCTTGATGGTGTTATCCCAAACAGCACTAGCGAGGAGAGCACAATCAAATGAAAGTGCTAAACTGGTGATGGGATTGGTGTATCCTTCGAAGGGAGCTCCGACAGTAACCAATGTAGATGCGTCGAACTCATAGATGATACTTGAGGAGGCATGATAACTGAATGAGGTTACGATGGTTTTGTCTTGGGTAGTCCAAAACACTGGCGTAGATATTTCGCACAGAAAATCAAAATTCCCCACTTTGACATCCAATTTCTGAGATTGGATATCCCACACTTCAAGGTAATTCCACCACAACAATTTGACCACGAGCTTCTTCGAGTCGTGTGTGAATCGAACTGCGCCCACCTCGTCGGCACTTCTGAACGGACCAGCTATGAGTTTGCCAGCATCCAAGCTCCATATCCGCACAGTGTAATCATATGACCCGGTCGCCAGTAACGTGCTGTCTGCCGAGATATCAATGCAGTTGATCGGTGAGCGACCTTCAAATATTGTCACTGCTCCCGTCTCAACCTCACAGACACTGAGTTCCCCAGCGTCGAAATACCCATCAGCAGTAACAACCCATCGACCATCCCTTGACACTCCCACCGCATGTACGTCCTGTTGATAAATATCCCGCGCCTCCTTAATCTCCTTACCAGAACGTAGGTCCCATTGACGAGTGGTCTTATCGCTTGACCCGCT